TACGATGTCTTTGGACAAGATATTTATGGATTTTGTATTCTCCGTTCTGCGATCATTAAGATAGGTTTTTTCAAACCTAGGCGGCTGGGTAATGGAAACGATATATTTGTGCCAAACCACTGCTAGAAAACTTTCCGTGTCGTTTTACCTGCCCGAATTCAATCCTGAGTCTTGCTAGAACAGTAGGATGACCCATTAAACGTCTCGGCCATTCGACCTACCACATTTTGCATTAAAATAAATATATAGCCTAATGAAAAGCAAATATTAGGCTACATAATTTTTGTTTTGAGGTAAAATTGTTTGTATTTCACAAATTAGTGCAGTTTGATTATTAATTCATAAAGTACTGTACATTGCTAATATGTATAATCTCAAAAATAGAAAAATAAAGTAAGTCAGATTACTATATAATTATATGTTAATATCGGTATGTAAACCTCTTTCAAGCTTTTGTATATGGTTCAGTCCGCATATACACCTGAAACATCAAGCTGTAATTCTTTAGTGGTTTCTAATTTCTTTCTTTATTCCGAAATTCCATTCAGATTGTAAACATAGAAAATTGTGTTTAAGCTGTATGCTTAGTGTACTAATATTATATAATAATATAGCTTTATATTATGGGTCTTTCTTGTCATGCAAATAAAGTATTCACAAACAAATTCAATGAGTTTTCAACAGTTTATGATGTAGAGACAAACATCTTATAAATAAATTATTCAGTATAAAACTATAATTTACATAATATCATAATTTAATTTAAGAATGATGTTAGTTCCGACGATACTTGAAAATGTTTTTTTTTTTTTTGTCAAAATTCATATTTGTATAATAATGAACCGCGGTTAAGTTAAAATTCTCTCAATGTGGAAACTTGAGATTTATTACATTCTCGAACCACTTGATATCTCAAGCGATTCACTTGACTTCACGATCTAAATTTTGCGCTGAAGCCTCAACTGTATGATAAAGAATTCTCGTACAGCGTTGGGGACCGGTGACAAATTTCGTCCCGGAAAATAAATACCAAACTTGTTTTTGGAGAAAATAAACTAAGTAAACAAAATTTGAACAAAGGGTTCGTCGCTATAGTTCACCATTGTGTTTATGTATATATATATATATATACATAAACACAATGGTGAACTATAGCGACGAACCCTTTGTTCAAATTTTGTTTACTTAGTTTATTTTCTCCAAAAACAAGTTTTCTTCGCTATCTAAAAGTAGAGCATTCCCTTAAAATCTTTCCTAAGCCGAAATGGCGTAGAGCAAAAATGCAATTACCATTAATTTATATAGGAAAAATTTTTGAGGGTTTCCAGACTCAAAATTAACTTACATTATTCAAAAGTGTTTTAATTCTTTATCTACAAATTAAGCTTGCTGCACCATGGATTCGATAAAAAATATTAAAGAAATAAATAAGTTTGAAATGTTTATAGGTAAAATATATTCATTTTTATCACCAATCAGCAAAAAGTCAACGAAGAATTAAATAGGACTGCTAAAGAAATTAATGTCGAAAATTAAAAATTGGCCATATGTTTGAACGACGATGAGCAACATGCAGTTTGCGAACGGCTGTTGTTGTGTGGAGGAATTATCTAATTTTATGCATACATTTTGCATCGAACAATAAATATAAAGGTTTTACTAAACGACTTCTAAATTTTGAATTTTTAAAAGATCTAGTATAAATGATTGACATCCTGCAGAATCTCTTGGAAGCTCTATGAAATCGCAATATAAGCATTACAAAAGCCGACTCCTTAATCATGCGAACAATCATCAACGCAATTAATAATTTAAAAAATTCCGAAGGGTTTTATGAATCTAAAGTTAATTTCATGTTAAAATCGAAGGAATTTGAAGTAATAGCAATTGAAAGTAAAATGAAAGTTATGAGGACTTGGAAGACGTGGAACTGAAAGACATTTTTAATATGTTACACCGAATCGTGAAATATAGAAATTCCCCGTCTATCATTTATGCTTTTTTGAGCTCAAGATGTCTTTTGTCAAGTTTGTCTGTAATGAGAAATTATGGAAGACCATATAGTCTATATAATGTGTTGACATTTCGCGTTAATTTATCAATTAATCACTTGTCTAGTTTTCATTTTAGCAAATTTTCTTATTATTTTTCTCGAACTTAAACTACATCTAAAAACTAAAAATAGTAAAAAATACCGAAAAATTTTAAACTATTTACCAGAGTTTTATTTTTTTTATTGAAATTTTTGTGAAATTAGATCTAAAATAATAAGGAAAAAACATCTAACTTTTAAGAGATCTTCGAGATTTAATTTTTTAGTAAAGTTTTGAGAAGTTCTGTGGATGCTTGACGATTTCCAGTTGTTGCGTGATAGAAACTTCATTTTACTCATTACAGAATAAAACTAATATCAACAAAAGGTTATATATCATGCGATGTTAGACATTAGTTATAGAGATCATGTTTTCTATTTTAGTAATTATGTCAAGACATGTTCTAAAATTTGATAAAAAGTTTTCTTGTTTATCCAACTAAAAACTATTCTCGATTAAATTTGTTTTTAATGTTAAACAAATTTAGTTATTGCGAATTATTTGAGTACTGTATAATAATTATCCATAAATATTTACCATATTCTTTATCCTAGATATATGTTCTTGTTTGTTTTCAAGGGTTTAAAAGACTATAACCTCACTGAAGATGTTTTTATTGTTTTTATGAATGTTATAAGAAAAATAAACTGCATGTCGAAACATCTGTTACATCTGTCTCTTATTTTATTTCATCTTTCATGTTTGTTTTGCCAACATATAAACTCTTATTGAAACTGATAGAAAATTGTCGATTAAAGATATTGAATTGAAGTCAATATCAATAACTTTAAATATTTAAATTAAAATAAATCATACATGTAAATTGCTCAGAAAATAAATTAAACATGTTTAACAAGAGTTTCGTAATGATAAATTTACTATTCACATGTTATAAGACCTTCCTGTATTTTAGCCAATAGGCAAGTACAAAAATTCTAAATCTATGAAACCTGAAAACTTTTCGATTCTAGTTTGAAGCAAAAAGCACAGCACTTTACTTCTCTAAAATCGGTACTATTGACAAACTTTCCTTTCTAAATAAATTACAAACTGTTTACTTCTGCAAACTTCTCCATTTCAACAACTACATTTCTAATACAATTTTATATATGTGAACTGGAAGATTTCGGATGAAAATTTTCACCTTTAGAAAAGTTTAAAGCAATATTAGCGAAAGAATAAGACAAACATCGATAGCTAAATTCATTCTAAAATATGCCATGGTATTCTATTATAAAACACTGCTTTTAAATTTATATTTAGTTTCCTTCTTTGATGAAATTCAATAAAAATTACAATAAATAATAATAACAGTTTTCTTTTGCATTTAATTTACATATTTTTATGTTAGTAGTTCACCTCGAATATAAATATTTTGGTGATATTTTGGGTATAATATAAGAAAAGAGACTCCACCATTTTGTAATGTATGCCATATAGAAAAAAATAATGCATGTATTTTGATTTAATAAATGACTTCAGAATAATAAAGTTATTAGATTAATTTTATTTAAACTGTGAAATAACTTTAAATATGCTAATAACTATTTTTATTCTCAATTTTAATTAATTTAAATTACGACAAAATATAAAAAGAATATAAATCTATTATGGCTTATAAAAATACGTTAAGAAAATAAGAAAAACTTTTATTAAATATTGTTTTTGAATTTTTTAAAACAGTTTTGATGAATAAATCAATGTTTATATTTATTGATTTTATATTTACGAAAACTGAATATAAATCGCAAAACAAACTTTGATAAAATTCGAACCGCATCCTTATTCTTTCGCATGAATCAAACATGCGTTATTATAGGATTATTTATGCCGAACTACGTCGGATATAACCGAAATAATAATAATTATTTTTTTAAAATAAATATTTTATTTTATTATTATTACCTTTCGGCAGAAAAACTTTTTTTATATAAAAAGTTAAATACAGTAGTCAATTAACAAATTTCTTAATGCAATCACTCTTAGCGTGATCACTTCTAAGAAATTAAAATGAAATCTCTGCGCCTGAGTTTTTTGTTGTAGCTATTTATTGGATCCTCTAATTCACTTTGAAGCAATCCTCGCATGTTTTGCAAACTGAATCGAATATTTACTGCCTCAAAATTTTCTATAAATCCTAATGTAATAATAGTAATTTGTATTTTTATTTTTATCTTTAAATTGTAATTAGAGAAAGTATAAACTAAGAAGGAGTCAAAGAAAGTAATAAAAGAAAGTATTTTAAAGTTATCAAAAAGCAGTACAGTCGACCTCCCTATAACACTGTTGATTATTCAGCTTTATATGAATTCCATGTTGTACGAGTCACTTAGATTTTACAAATACGTGAGCGTTCACAGCTCGGCACACGTATTTGTAAAATCTAAGTAACTGTACAACATGAAATTCATATAAAACGGAAAAATCAACAGTGTTATAGGGGATCGACTGTATTCTAAACTTTTCTAAAGTTATAAAGAAAAGTAATATTAATAAGAGTCTAAAATAATCGCCATTTTGAAATTTCATTCTTCTAGTTTTCTTGTTCAGAAATTACATAATTTTTTAAAATTTTGGATAAATTAAAAATCTATTTTAATATTTTTCTTTGATCTTTTATCAAATTGATTATGTCTTTGATAAAATCGATTATATATATCCAATAATAAGAAATTTTCGATTATTCTCTATGTATTTGATTTATACGATAGTTATTTTAAGTAATTAAAATAATATTAACTTTGCAATTATATTAGTCTTATATTCATCTTAATTATGAATATAATTTTTCTATGGTTATACGGTAAAATAATATAAAATAATATGGTAAATATTTTGTTTAATTGTGAATTTCGCAAAATCCGAGATACCTTCAAAAATAAAATAAGTTAATATCCTATAAACCACTTGAAAGTAATCCTGCTTTAATTATCCATTAAATCAAATAAAATAGTAATAAATAATAATATACATCCCGTGCATAGTCAATTTTTGTTCTAGAGCACATGTCTTTAAGAGTGTAATTCTTCTACCATTTCTAAAAGTTCGTCCAGTTCATCAGATCTCAATAACGCTTCCACACATTTGTTGAAATACGAATTTTTGAAACAGTTGGACCTATTAAATGAAAAAAATACATAAATACATAAATTAATAAATCTTTCTAAATAGTTCTTGTAATAATAATAAAATTTTGCTCGATAAAATTAAATAAAGTTTTTCAATTTATAACTATTATAGGAAGAATGAAAGTTTATGGAATTTTAAATAAATAAAAAGCATTTAATAAAAATTAGAATATAATAAAATTATTATCTTATGAGCATATAAAATTTATGTAATTATATAAGAGTATTATATCAGTATATTAATAAGTAAAAACTTGATAAGTTTTCTCATTGTAGTTACTTACTTGCATCCTCTAATAATTTCTGGTTGTCTATACAATTCGAAGCAATCCTCGCATACTCTACTAACTGCATCAAACTTTACTGGATCGTTTTTTCCCATACATCCCAATGTAATATAATTAGTTTGCCTTTTTATTTGCATTCCTTGAATCGTGATTAAACAGAAAGAAAAGACCAAGAACATAGTGAATCGAACCATCTATGAAAAACAGAGAATTATATAAATATGCCTTAGATAAACATTAATGATTTATTTAAAAATGATAACGATAAATTATACAGAAACGACGAACTTTATTTAATAATAATCACCTTATATATAGTTTTCTCACCTTCTTATATAAACTTTATGTTTAATAAAAGAAGATAGAGATGGTTCAATGACGATGTAACTTGTTTGTATCTTTCCCTCTATTTATATAAGAAGATCAGATTTCTATTGGCGGATAAAGGAAACACCTTTCGTGACATCACGCCTTGTCGTCATTTCTATTAATACATAAATTCTGGACAAAATAATATCCACTAATAGAAATGAAGATCGTGATTAGATTCCACAAATTAATTATGTAATCATCTTGTCGATAATGTAGACCTAATTATAAACTTTAAAAGTTTAGAGTGGAATGATTCTTAAATGAGAGGGGGTTGATATTAGAAAAGATTTATTTAACTAATTAAAAATTCTTTATCAATTATATTTACTTTTCAAAACTTTATAAATAACATATTTATAATTTCTATTTATACAATAAATTGCTTTAATTTAAAATATCAATATGTATGACATTATTTCTATTAATTATTCGATTCACAACTAATAGGTAAAAATATAATTTTTTAATTTTAAATTGTAAATTATATAAGTTAAACTTATATATATTTTATGATTATTTCAAATATAATCTTTAAATTAGTGCATGTAATCTGGCATTTCTTATATTTTTATTACCATTTATATTCTTAAAGAATATATAAAAAGAATAAATCAAATTATTTAATAAACAGTAAAAACTGATATTAGATTTATGTAGAATCTTAAAAAAGTAGCAAATTAAAGATTGATAAGATTAATTATAAATTATTAATATAATGAAATAAAAAAACTTAATAAATACAAAATATTGTTACAGGGTTTTAAGTTATACAAATTATGGACATTGTTGCGAGAAAGTTTGACATGATCACGACGCAACTTTCTCCAAAATATTCTAAATTTCTTCTATTTCGTAATTTTATAAATCATTTGAATGCGAATACGATTCTATCGAGTCTGAATAAAATATAAAACAGTCGATCGTGCGACATTTTAAAAATTTATAAAAAGTAAAGATTTTGTTTCGCAAAGAAAGCTACCTAGAAGACTAAGTATATTGGGACTATGTATTTATTTTTTAGTGATTTGTGCTTCTATTATTGGTACAGCTTTGAGTTTGTTGGTTCATACAATATTTAATAAAATCTATAAAAAATAACATTCTGCTTCATAGAAAACAACCGTAGTCGACCGATTTAACAGCATAGCAATCATAATACACTTCTGACCTCCATTTATAGACTACTTCAAAACACTTCAAGACAGGGGACGTACTGTACCCACGTATTTGCTTTAAAGTTGCGTTTTATTTACATATTTTTAAAATATAAAATAGTTGGTCACGCAAATTTGCAAAAAAATAACACGATAAACTTACATATTTAGGTATTTAAAAAAAAAAAATATATATNGTACTTTCAAGTAGGTTCAACAAAATACCACATATAAAATGCCAATTATGTGGTGTGTGATGGAGGGACTATGGAAAAATCTCCCGAAATATCTCACCCATCAATCTTTTTAGATTGGTGGTTTGGATTTGGCTGGGTCTTTGAGACAGGACAAATGGGATGTTGTGGTTAGAGAGGAGGCCGCCATGTCCTTTGGGGCGCCCACAGATGAATGAAAGCCATGGAGGACAGATGGGGAAACCCGTTGATGACTGCTGACAGCAACCTCAGAGCACGACCACTACTGCCGATCGTCTCAGGAATCAGCCCGTATTATGAGGTACAGTATATAGCTATTACCCGAGAAGAAAAAAGACAAGGCATGACACGAGAGGCCCATCTAGTTTATCACGTATTTTCAACAGTGTATGTAATTATTATGACTGCAACTGATGTAATAATTAGACTAAAATAAAACATGAAATGTATTTAACTTTGATATATTACTTTGTATTATAACATTTCATGCAAATCACAATCGCTGCAGGGGTTAAGACTTCCATCCAACAAGTGGTATTGGTCCTGAGGTACAAACAGGTTGGAAGAGGAGCCCAGAGTGTGTAAGAGGAAATAAACTAGTAGAATAATCAAAGAAATGAACAAAAAAATTAAATAAATTCTTTTTCGATATTGGTCCATTCTGGAAGTCAAATAATATCAAAACCAATTACAGTAATATCTAAATATCATTACATGAATATGATTAATATTTAATGTGAAAATAATTTACGTTTATTAACTTGGTTTTTGCTTATGAATTATTTATTAATTAACTTAGCCATCATTACTTTAATGACAACAGGTTTAAGATATTTTAAACTTGTTTCAAATAAAATTTAGTAACTGATTTTCAAGAAAATAATATTTCCTCATATTTATTGTGAGTTATGTAAATATTAAGGTACTGAATAATGTATAAAACTTGAAAAACTGTGTATATAAGTTATATAATGTAGTATATTACAAGTAAAATATTCATTAAATACGAATCATAAAGAAAATTATAAACATTAAATATTTTAAAAATTATGTGATAAAAACTGAGCCAATAAACATTTTAAGGCGATTCTTGACAAATATTTATTTAAGAACTTATTTTAGTTCTATATTATACTATTAAAAAATAATTAGAGTTTTTATAGTAAATACAGGAAGAAGAAAATGCATTGTCATTAGAGAATATTAGTGCAAGTTAAGTAAACTATAAAATAGTTTGTAAATTAATCTAATCTGCTTATATTTCGTAATTATCCCAGAAAAATGAGAACAGTATGATGCAATTAAATATTACGACGTAAAATGAAAATTATTAAAAATTTTATCCCCCAAAAAAATTGTCGAAAATTCTGATTAAAATTTCGTGTATGTGTATAAAATATATGGATAAAATCTTCAATATAACTTTAAATATTAGATGAAAACCATACGCTAGAATTTGATATATTATTCAATTATAATAAATATATTTATTATGAAAATTTTGATATAAAGAATTAGATTTTTACACGAAAACATTAAAGCGAATTCAAATTTCAAATTTCGAATTTCAAAATTATCTATCGATTTAGGATTTTAGATATACATTTAACTATCTTCTATTTTCAAGTGGCATTTTCGATATTACAAGAAGGAAGTGTTTATAAAATTATGACAAAATTCCTTTTACGTGTAATTAATTTATGGTTGAGAAATATACTCCTAAATTTGATACAGTTGCTTAATGCAAACGCCTAACTGTCGTCTTGTATAGTGCATTCGGAATATATATCTTTTTGTGTATTTAAATCGAAATATTATTCATATAAAAGTAGAGTAAATATACTTGTATAATATAAAAAATTCCACATGTAAAATTTTAATATAATTTACTGTACTTAATTGCCCTTTTCAGAAAAAAAATTTATAAAAAATAATTTTTTCGTCACAAGTTTTGTTAATTTGTATAAAAAATCGAGTATATTTTATTAATTTAATGGATTCATACGGATTTATATATTTAAAGCGATTCATTCTGCTTTAATATAAACTGGAAATTGTCTGGTTAGGCTGTACTTAAGAGATTATACAAAATCTTTTAATCTACTAAATCTGTTGTACAAGATTTGTTAAATATCTTTAAGTACAGTACTTTAAATAGCTTATCTTAGAATAGGTCTATAACCTTAAATATCATTATCATTATTATAATAGGACCAATTAGGAATTTTGCATTATATTATAAAGTGTGGATCAAGAGTTAGCCTATAACAATCATGATAACTGATTGATAGAATGATTTTGTACTAAATTTAATAGTGTTTAATTTATCAAATTATACAAATTAATATTTTAGTATATTTATTGGCAGAAAGATCTCTTCCTACCTGTATTATAGATGGTTTAATCTTATCTGTAATTAACGCGATTATTTACTTGCGCGTGAATTCATTTTTGAATTTGAAAATGACACTTTAATTATTTTTAATGAATAGTTGGTCATGAAATTTATAAAAAATAATATAATGATTTTTATGTAATTTTATTGCACTATGAAACAAATTGTTAATTTTTAAATCTTGTTAGACTGCAATTTGAAAAAAACTAGACCTATAAATTCCCACTGTCGTCCGTCTGTACGTCTGTCATTCCTTATTCTCAAGAAAGAACTTAGATAGATAAAATCCGCATCAGATATCGAAACCTTAGGAACAAAATGACCTCGATTAACTATATAAGAACTTCCGATACAAACCGGAATTGACGTGTTTTCAATTCAAAAATTTTCCTCTGAAAGGTGTCCGGCACGACTCTATTGTTAAAGGAAAAGTATGATGTACAGGGGCACGCCACTATTAATTTGAGGTAGAGAGCATATATTTTAAATTAAATAAATTAAGAATATAATTAAAATTGCAGCCTGGCATTGTGACGATGTCACAATAAAATAATTTTACGTATTTGTATATTTTATTTCCTTTTTTTTATTTCCTGTATTTAACTAGTATTGGTCGATAATTACTTAATTCATGTTATCGTTAATTAAATCCGATGTAAATAAATAAGCATATTCAATTCTCTATTTAAATACATTTAATTGAAAACAAATGGTGATAATGATGATAAGTATATTTGAGATAATTTTAGATATTAGAATTATTTTAAAAAATTTACAAAAAGTAAAATATATAAACACGAAAGAATGTGATATATTTAAAAAAACACGCATACACACACAAAAAAATTAAATAAATTCTTTTTCGATATTGGTCCATTCTGGAAGTCAAGTAATATCAAAACCAATTACAGTAATATCTAAATATCATTACATGAATATGATTAATATTTAATGTGAAAATAATTTACGTTTATTAACTTGGTTTTTTCTTATGAATTATTTATTAATTAACTTAGCCATCATTACTTTAATGACAACAGGTTTAAGATATTTTAAACTTGTTTCAAATAAAATTTAGTAACTGATTTTCAAGAAAATAATATTTCCTCATATTTATTGTGAGTTATGTAAATATTAAGGTACTGAATAATGTATAAAACTTGAAAAACTGTGTATATAAGTTATATAATGTAGTATATTACAAGTAAAATATTCATTAAATACGAATCATAAAGAAAATT